CACTAGGCCCACTACACTTTATGCTGTAACCATCCCTTTTGATGACCAACGTAGCCGGCTCCCATGTATCAGGATACCCAGTCTTCATGACGAAAGAGAATTGGTAGAAGAAACAATTGAAATTAATTAAAAGCTTTGGTAAAAAGACATTCTGCAATTTATGTGGGAGGTCAAAAAAAAAAAAAAATCAGTAGCAATTATACCAAGAAGGATAACTTGTATGAAGCATGACCACTCGAAAGAGCCTTCTGTATGGCGTTCTGCATTTCAGAATCTGAAGGACAAGGAAGCAGACATATTGAAAGTACCACAATCACAGATGTGCATAAACTAAGCAGAAAATTAACAATTAAAGGAGTACAAGATAAAGCTTTTGAAATTCTCAATGAGATTTTGATCCTAACTGGAGTTGGATAATATGCAGACAACAGGATAAGATTTCTAATAGAACAGCACATTAATCAACAGGAAAACAAAGATATCTTCAAGCAAAGAAATTCAGTTATATACATCAGATCCACCTGACTCATGTACCAAATAAACAAACTGGTGGAGAGATTTTTTTTGTGTCGGGGTGGGGGGGGAAGAAAAGAAAGGAGTTTTATAAGAACCAAATGATGCCTCTTAATTATTAAGTCCGACGAATTTGCAGAAGTATCAATTACCACAAATGATTTTTCTATGATCATTGGCAAAGACCTTCACAATTTCACCCTGAAAAAAAAAAAAGGAGAGAAAAAAGAAAGAACCAATTCAATTCACAAATTGTATGCAAAAGGAAACTCGTCAAAATATAACATTTAACTCCTCATCCAAAAATTCATATAAATAAAACATTGAAAGATAACGAGCATATATATGCATGAAAAAAAGGGTAAAATTTGTCTAGAAAGAAAAATAATCGGGTCCGACAATTTCAAGCAATTCTTTAGCCTAAAGCGGATTCCTTATAGAATCCGAATACAGATACAAGATCTCTAATTCAAGCTCATGCCACCAAAATAATGCAGGAGTCAGTTCCCACCTCAGATATCACCTATTAATAAATGGTGGACCAAGAGATCTACTTTGAAGCATAAAGATAGCGCATGCCTCTAAAAATGAAGGAATGTGAATAAATAAATAATCAAGAATAATAGGAGAAGAAGCTCAACTATGTTCAACCTTTTGAACCAAAAAGAACTTTAACCCTTTACTTTGTTTCACAGGTAGCTTAGATAAATTTTTATCTTATTCATGTAATATATAGAGTTGGATATTTAATATTACAGTCTCAATGAAAAAACTCATCTAACAAAGTGAAATGCAATCAACGAAATATAGAGGAAAGCATGCATGGTGACAGTATTTATAACAATCAACTTTTGTCAATTATTTAGTGAAACCGGAGATCAATATTTTCCAACTTTTGCATGAACTCTAGCAATAAATACACCCTAATAACACAATATTTGATACCTCGTACTAAATTCTAAGCACAATAATACCAACATCTGATTCGAAAAGTAAAAAAGAGCTACTAAAACTTTTTACTTAAGTGTTTATAAGGGAATGTTTGGTTAGGGGGAATAGAAATATGAAATTGGAATGAAATTGATGAGATTTCTGTTATAAGTGTTACTAGTGTTAAGGAAATAAATCACATCAATTAGGCACTTAGGCAAGAGTATAACTAGAGTTTATTGTATTTCCATACTTGTGCCAAGTTACCAAAAACGTGTACTCTATTTTTCTTATATAATAGAATTAGAGGGGAGGAAGAAACTTATCTTCTTCTCTCAATTTATGCCAAACCCGTTTCTCTTCAACTAGCATTATCTTTGTTGGCATTCCTTCAAACTTGAACCATATAGTGGAATTTTAGATTTGTAAACAAAAAAAGTTTAAATACGAAAGTGAGGTTTCACAATATGTTACGATTGATTGATCCAACCATTCTTCCTCATTCTAGTGCAATTCTTATTGTGTATGTAAATCATATTACAGTGATTGGCAATAATTTCTCATACATTAAAAAATAAAAATATATCTTAACTAGAGAATTTAAGATCAGTGATATATGCCAACTGAGATATTTTCTAGAATGACGTAACAACATTGATATGTGGTTATCATAGCACTGCTGAAGGAGAGTTTAGATCCACTGCTCAAGGATTTGTGAACTTCTCCCATAGAGTTAATAGTGGATTTCAAAACCCCTGCGAAACTGTGTTGTGACAACAAAGCAGTGATCAACATTGTTCATTATCTTACTCAGCATGACAAGACAAATCACAATGAGATTGCCAACACTTTAGTTAAGAGGAACTGACGTTAGGTGCGATTCTTATGGCCTATGTACCAACTGAGAAGTAGTTAGCAGACCTAACCAATATTCTTATAGAATGCCCCCATGACAATAGACAAGCTTGAATGCTTGATATATTTGATCCATTCTGAGGGGGGATTATGGAAAATCTTTTAGTTAATGGAAAGATTTGATTCAATTTTTGGAGATTTTGTTTAATAACAATTTTAGCAAATAGATTTTATTTCCTAGTAAGATTACCACACCTAATGTATATATGTAGGGTCGCAATATACATTGTTGAAATAAGAAAAATGTAATTTTATACCTCAAATCGAGTGTGTGCAAATAGAACCAAACATGGTAGGGTGCTTTTCATTCTCATTTTGATTACAAGGTAATTCCATTTTGATTCCGATTTCAGTCCAATTTTGAAACAAAAGCACCTTAAAAATATTGTAATATTGAAGATAATTTTCTAATACATTGCTCGTAATCGTGAAGATCTCCCATAATCTTGAGGTTGCATATTGAAATGCAAGGTTTTCTAAACTTAGAACTGAATATCTCATTTATGCAATCATCAGTCATAGAGACACATACTGAACTACACAGGTTTCCATTCAACTGCTTACAGAATTTGTATGCTGCGGTTTACCTTCAATTATAGTTTGGCATCAATCAAATATTAAGTGTCATGGTCTGAATTCAGGTCTCTAGAAGAAAAAAGGTGAAAGCAACAAATTCTACTGCACAATGCAAGGGAAATAGACCAAAGTTTAAGAGTCATACCCTCCATATAATGATTCTTATATTATAAGAACAACAAAACACTTTCAAAGATTAAAAAATAGAATGTCACAGAATTCAGCCTATACATGATCACAGATAACCTAATTGAGCTACCGACAGAAGGCACGGACCCGAAAAATGGGCATTGTGTTTGATCCAACAGAATATGGACACATTTTTCAAAAATTCAGCCTGTATATTATCATGGATAACCTAATTGAGCTGCCAAGAGATAAATCACGGACCAAGTCTTGAAACCAGTACATGGAAACATAAATGACCAATGCAGACACGCGTACACAGGAAAAAAAACAAAAAAACCGAAAAAACAGAAACAGAAACCAAAATAGAACCTTCCGCTTTCTGTCATCCAGTGGCTGTACTTCGATGGCAAGATATGCATTAATGTCATCCGCAGTCACAAGATAGTTTGGCTGTTTTGCACCTGGCATCAATAATCTGTATAACTAAAACTGAATATTGATCGGAAAGAAATACAACAACTGAAATTAGAAACTGAGCTTGTGGTACAGAAGATACCATCTATATGATTGAAAGATCCATCTTCCAAATGACGCACCCACTGCGAATTCAGGAATAAAGCAAGATAAAAATAAGAAATCCTACGTAAATATATGATTGTAGATCAAACACAAATCCAGTGTTACCATGTCAAAAGACAAGCAAAAGCTACAACAAAAAATCGCAGGCATGTAGGGAACGAGTAAAAGAAACTATAGCCTAAATACAAGAAGCACCTCAAAATTACAACTGGTCGTTCCATCTATAGAGAGTCCAGATACCAGCAGCTCTCGTCCTGGAAGGGCTTCACCTGAAATTTGGAGTCCTTGTATTGCAGGTAGTGGATCATCATCTGCAGCTGATCATTGTAATAGATTTAAAATTTGTGACCGCCAACAGTGTGCTGAATAGCTAAATAAACTTAAGTGTGAGAATTCTGACCCTCTGAGAAAGAGGACGAAGGTTCTTCAAGAACTGGAGGTAAATGAGAATATGAGCTGAGATCACCGGCATTTGTAGTATATGCTGACATTTTAGGAGTCCAATTAGCTGAAGCCTCTCTATCATTCTCGTATCCTTTGATGGCAGGATCATCAACCTCATTGTTCCTAACAAGGTCACCAAATGTAACTTTTTTACTCATGGTTTTTTCATTATTACGTACAGGACTTGAATCATATTGGTTGACCGAAAGCTGTCCATGTACTTCTTTGGAATCGGTGTTCCTAGATAGTAGGGGGAACATGATTAGGATGAACTGGTAAATAAAAAGACAAGAAACTAATAAAATACAATATACTGAGATAATGATGCAAATATGAGGTAAAAATTGTATGCTGATACGAGGAAATGTTACAACCTTATAGCCTCTTCTACCATTTGCAGGAAAAGGGAATAATATCCTACAGCTATTCGTACTGTTATAGTGCTTAAAATTAGGCAAGAAAATAATTACAGAGGTCATCGCTTCAAATATGGCAATTAACACAAACTTATATAAACTCAGAAACCACCACCAAAAGATGACTGTTGAAACTGAACATTCAGTTACAGTAGCAGTCCCATTTGACCAGGCTCACCTGCTTACAAGAGGAGAATATATCCCAAAGTTATTGGGCTCCAAAGTTTTCGTAACAGCATCACCTAGACCACTCTGACGCCCCAATAGATCTCCATCAGTTGTTGTCTGAGGACCTGAAGATGATATCATTCCATCAGCATATGCTGGTTGTGGCACTAGTTCCATCCCATTTTTGATCGGCAGGGAATGCAAATGTTAGAGAAAACCATTATTACATTTTACGCAAATAATATATAATACATGAGTATGCTAAAATGCTAGCCCTACACCAACAGCATGTGATGGTGATTGAGCAAAACTAAAGGTATTCACATCAGATCACCAAGGTGCTATCTGGTACTGAGACTCCTTGAGCCTTCCCTGCAACAACACAAAAATGGTGATACAATATATTGACAAACGTAAGATGTTCATCATCAATCAAGGCCACTTGAATATTCCATTCAACATACCTCGGTGAGAAGAAGCTGCTCCTGCAAATGTCTAAACAAAACCTGCAAAAACGAAGTTCCATAAATAAATTTGCAGAAGGGGACAACCTCAAATCTCTCAACCACATCATGATTATCCCAATTTTGCTCAGATCTAGAGATGAAAAAGAGCTAAAGCTAGAGAACTGACTATTCAGTCTTGGCTCAATATATCTTTTAGTAGGCCAAGTCCTGCTCAGTCTTGAGACAAGCTAATTTTCCTTGTTTAAATACTTGGCTCATAAAAAACACGAGGCTTTGTCAAGTTTCATCCAGCCATTAGGCTCACTTATTTTAAATAGGCAATGATCCACAGACCACTTGTAAATCATATGAAGGTTCATCTTATAGCTTTAAAATATGAGTTTAAAGTAATGATCTGTCATGTCGCTCTACTTCGCCTAAAAATGAGAAAGGAGGAATTTTGGAATTCACTTTAGTAGTAGGCATTCATTTGTTAGTAAATTTGTAAAATAGAAGCATATGTGGATTATGAACAAATAAAGTATTGAATATGTTACTGTCAAAAATTGTTTCCTTGATTCACCTCCTCTATTCCCAAGCCATACCTGCAATTTAAGTGGTAAGAGTACTTCTTGTACCCATGTCATGCCCAAATCAGTATGCCACTATAGGATTATAAATATAATTAGTTAAGAAAATTTTAAGACTGTATTTTTTATGTTATTGCAGCGCACCTGAGAGCCAGAGTAAAGCTCTAGTAATTGTTATGAGATGTCTCATGTGATAGAGTCCTATCTAGACTGGGTTGAATTAATAAATTCCTGTTTGAACTAGAGTCTGATTTGAATTGTATGTGTATATAGATAAGATAAAAGATTTAATAAAGGAGCTTATCCACTGCATTATTGAATGCCTTGTCTCTGTCACCAGGTAGATTTACAGGGATTGTGTCCAGGGGATCGCAAAGATACTCCCTCCAAAACTTTTGTGCCTGACAGGGACACAAGGTTCAGCCTGTTTATTTATTTTTGGTTAACTTGCTGGAAGCTCGATACAATCTACTTGTTGGGAATCATTGAAATACACATTAGGTAGGTAATCAATTGAGTTCCCACAAAAAGCTCCAAAATGTTACTATCGAAATTTGTTCTTTAATAGTCCTCATCTCTTCCCTAGAGATAACTGCAATAGAGGGTGTAAGGTAGTGCCTCGTAACCCTCTGATGCCGAAGTCAGTTTATGACAATAGGATACTAAATATAATTAAAATGGAGATAATTTAAGGTCGTATTTTGCATGTCATTTCACGTACCTCAAGAGTCGTCAGGAAATTCTATTTATAGTTATGAGATATGTCTCTTGTGATGGACTAGACTGATATATTCCTGTTTGAACTGGACCGGCGGAGTCTTATTTGAGTTGTGTTTATATATTGATATGGATAAAAATAGACTTCACCCCTGTTTGTTTCTCCATTTTAATGAGATTTTGGAAGAAAATGTATTTTGGAATAGTGAAGAATGTGTGGTTAAAGATTAAGGAAAAGTTTTGGGCTTACATGTAATATTATTTTATGGGAAAATGTGTGGTTGAAAATGAGTTTTGAAAAAATAGATCCCAAACAGGGGCTTCATCCTTTCACTTATGGTGATTATCCACGGCGGTAGTTATACTAAAACAGAATATTTAATAACTCGGGATTTGGTCTTTGTATTGTAATTTTTATCCCTATCAGAATGAAAAATAAGAAACTTGTTATTTAGTACATAATTCTATAGGATGCATAGCTACCTATTCAAACACCATACCCCCTCCTCCCCAACCGCTTGTTGACAAGCATAAACATGCTGGAATCTGTTTTTCATTATTTGTTAAAAGTTGGGCTTTTAGCTGAATTCCAAGCTGAGTCACAAGCTGTTGAGAAACACTCATCAACTCACCGTTGGAAGTTGGAATTTCCTGATTTTGGAACTTGAGAATCTCCTTTTCTTTTACAGATATAAGGTTGTGGTGGCCTTTCAAATTCTTTTCTTTTCTTTTGCTATTGCTTTTAATAATCGTTTGATTGATTAATTTGAGTATTTGACAGATAAAACAATAATGACTTGACTTAATTATTAAGTTTAAATTAATAATGACTTGACTTAATAATTAAAATTTAATTACAAACTAATATATATATTACTTAACCTAATTATTAGTATTAAATTACAAGTTAGTATGTCCATTAATTGGTGCAATTGTCGATTTATATATGTTTTATGTTATTTAAGCATATAAATTTTACCACCCTTGACCCTTTAACTTTTACATCGACCTATTTATAAAACATTTATGCTATCAATTAGCATAACTCTCCTCTCCTTCATATTCAAGTGATAGTTATCCTTTTTAAGGAAGTAAATTAACATCAAAGATCAAGTGTAACAAGAGTATTATGCCTAAGGAATGAAAGGGAGTTCGCACTCCCAACAGAGAAAATAAAAAGTTGGACAAGCAACAAATGAGAGAGAGAATATAGAGGAAAAGGAAATGTCGAGGAATTAGCATATCGGCTGAAGCCACTATGCTTCAACTTCTATCACTGGGATCCGTAGAATCAATAATTGATGGAATGATTGGCAGATCGTAATTGACGGGTTGTAGAATAATTGTCAGATTGCAGGATCCATAGTTAGCATATTCTAATTGGCTTCTATAATTGGGAGATTCTATTGAAATTTTTCTTCCCTTATTTACATCAATTGTACATATGGCGAACGACTTGAGGTCTTTATCTACCGTTAAAGAGATATAGAAATATCTAGGCCGAATATATAGTCAAGACAATAATGCAAGTAATTTTCATTGGGAATTGGATATAGCAAATCTCAATCAAGGTAATATTTCTATTGAACAATATTATTTTGGTTTCTTGAACTTGTGGAGCGAATATTCAAGAATTATACATACCAAGGTACCTAAGTAGGCGGTGTCGTCCGCACTTCAAACAGTCCATAAGGAGAGTAGATGTGATCAATTTTCGATGAAATTAAGAGCAAAATATGGAGCTACACGGGCTGGGTTATTAAATCAAAATCCGATTCCTACTTGGATGTTTGCCTTGAAAAGTTGCTGCGGGAAGAACACAGATTGACCACTCAGGCAGGAATGGGACAAGAGAGGCTACATTATGAGATAATGAATGTCGCCTATGCAACCTTGCAAGGAATTTGGCCATATTGCCACAAACTATACAAGGAGATATTGTAATTATTGCAAGAAACCGGAGCATATCATCAAAGCATGTCCGATTCGTCCTCAAAATCGGCAAGCACGAGCCTTTCAAGCTACCATCCAAGCTACACCCATGGCACATAATCTTCACCTATTGTAGCCCCAACAGGCACCACAGCAAGTCCTAGTCAAGCTATCCTCACTCCTGAGATGGTCCATTAGATGATCATCTCAAGTCTTTTTTACATTCGGCCTTCAAGGTAATGGCAAGACATCCTCATTCCCTTGGTTTGTTGATTCAGGAGCTTCCAATCATGACCAGTCAATCTGAATCATTGCCTAACATTCAGAGTTATAATGGTCGTTACTACATTCAAATTGCAAACGGAAATCACCTACCCATTAATTGTAATGGTTGAACCTCAACACCACACCAATTTCACACTACCGGGAATTAATAAACTCAAATAACAAATTGAATTTTGTTGCTTATTGAAATAAACTGCAACAACAGAAGAACTATATAAGAATTGATAAAGAAAGGGGAAGAGATAGAAGAAAGACTTGGGGAAGAAGAATCCAATTCACATCACAATCCCCTCTGTTTCCTCAATTACAGCTATTATAACCAACCAGCAAGGAAGAAAAGGTAAATGCTAAGAAGAAAACATGTTTAACTCGTACAATTTGATTATAACTAAAACGACACCATTTATTTCTAAAACAAAACGACGTCATTTATTTTCCATCCAAACGACGTCGTCCAAACATCTGAATTTGAATGTTAGGTATTACCATTAGTCCTCGTCTTCCTCCCTCTGTGCCCTGCGTCTGATCCTTTTCTTCTTTTGCCGCCACTTTCATTGATTCTCTTCTTCTCCTTCATAACATCCCTCCCCCTTAGACCAACATTGTCCCCATGGTTCAGACGATTAAGGTACATCACTCTCCCTTTGTTCTGGTAATTCAAAGATAGGCACCACCTTCTCGCCAATTTTCTTCTTCAACAGTGATATATACGAAAAAAGGATGAATTTGAGCTCCAGCAGGTAGTTCCAATTTATACGCGACATTTCCCAATTTCTGAATTACCTTGTAAGGCCCCATAGTATTTTGCAGCCAATTTCTTGTTAACCCTCCTAGCCACAGAGTGTTGAGTAAATGGGTGTAGTTTAAGGTACACCCAATCTCCTAACTAAAATTCGAGTAAAGGGGTGTAGTTTAAGGTACACCCAATCTCCAAACTAAAATTCTCGCTCACTTCTATATTTATCAGCATATAACTTCATCTGAGCTCTGGCCTGTGCTAAATTTTCTTTGAGGATTTGGTCCATTTTGTGCCTTTCTTGAGGCAATTCATCTACTGCTGCCACATTGATCTATTGGTATGGACCTAATGCCAATTGAGGGGGTTTGATTCCATAGAGGGCCTCGAATGGTGTCATTTTAATAGAGGTGTGAGGGGTGGTATTGTACCACCATTCTGCCATACTCATCTATTTACTCCACTGCTTGGGGTGCCTATGAGCCATACACCTAAGGTACATTTCCAAGCACTGGTTTAATCTTTCCGTCTGGCCATCCATTTGAGGATGGTAGGCAGAACTCAACTGCAACTTAGTTCCCAGTTGTCTGAATAGTTTTTGCAAGAATACACTTGTGAAAACTTTGCCTCTATCTGAAATGATGCTTTGTAGCATGCCATGAAGTTTAAAAATGTTATCAAGAAATAGCTTTCCACCATTAGTAGCTGAGAAAGGGGGTGATGGAGATAGGAATTGACCATATTTGGTGAACCTATCTACCACCACCAAAATGGCATTCTTGGTTCCAGAGTAGGGCAAT